TACCTTAACCTCACCCTTTTAAAACCAAGGGGTTGTTTTAAATTTTTAAACTTAACAACTTCAATTAAATTTAAATTCAATTTTATTCTCTAAAATTTGGGTTACAAGGGGGGTTTTTAAACGGGTTTTTTGGGTTTTTTGTGGGGGTTTAAAACCATTTAAATTTTAAACTTTTTTAAACGAGGGGGTCACTAGGACACCTCCCTGGGCTTTGGCCCTATCAAGCAGACCCTTTGATAAATTCTTAACATTAAATCCTTACAGATTATGGTATTAAAAGGGTAAGTGAAATTTCTTTATAATTTTTTGAGTTTTGCAATGGAAACTTTTTGTTTTTTGGGGGCAATACAAAGGTCTTACTGGGGAAAATAGGCAAAAAATTTTGACTAAATTGGATTTATTATAAAACCCTTTATATCCTCTTATCATTTATTCCATTTTCCTTCCATCCCATCTACCTTTTTACCTCCCGGGAGTTCAAAAAACAATTGACTATCGAAGTCCCCTTTTAAAATAACCCCTGCAGAAGTCTACCCTTTTAACCCCTTTTTTCCCCCAAAATTAAAAAAACCCAAAAAAATACTGCATATCTTTTTTTATTTTTTTTTTTTTTATTACACTGGCGATTCCCACCAAAGGCAGGGTGGCCCCAAAAAGAAAAAAAATTTCCCCTTTATTCCCCCCAAACACTGTCTTCCCTAAGGGTGCTTTACATACGTTTTTTAAAAATGCAAAATTAAAAACCCCTTTTTCAGGAGGCAGGCAAAATGTTTTCTTTTCCCCTCTCCCCGGGAAATCAAGTCCGGCCTGCCCCGGGTTTTCCCGGAACCCTTTTTTAAATGTTACTTTGCTCAACCTCCAAAAACACTAAGTTAAATTAAAAAACCCTTTGTCTCCATTCACTCCTATTTAAACATGGGTTTCCCCCATGCCTGCTGGGAAGTCCCAAACCCCCCGCACACAAAACCCCCTTTAAACCCCCCCTCCCCCCCAACCTTTCCTAGGCCCAAAACCCCACCCGAACCCTTCCTTCCCCTACAGACTGTTTTTGTCCTTTAAGTCATTCTGTTTTCGCTTTCCCTTCTCTCTACATGTCCGAAACCCCTCAACAAAACCCTTTTCCCCCAGCCCCCCGGGGCAAACAGTTTTTTGGGAAATTTCCCCCCCCCTCCTCCTTAAAATTTTAAAAATACGAATTTTGCATTATATTTAACCAAACATTGCCCCAGACATTTACCCTCTCCCCCCGCCCCCGCCTTCCCTCGCTGCCCAAAAATTTTTCCCCCCCGCTTAACCCCCCAAAAAAAGCGTGGTTTTAAAAATATACTCTCCTACTTTCCCCCCTTTGCCTCCCCCGGGCAAAGTTTTTTTGTCCCAAAAGACTCCTAAGTGCCCACTCACTTTTTTCCCTCAACAAATTTTTGATTTACCTCATCTTTAAGACCCATTTCCCCTGACCCCGTCCACTCCCAAAAATCTGAATACGTTTACCTCCTCCCCCTACTCTCCCCCCCTCCAATCTGATATTCAATCTTTCATCACCTAAACTTTTTTTTTTATCCTCATAACCTTTCTCTTTTTCCCCCGTATTCACCTTTAATTTTTCTTTCTTTTTTCAAAACCCCTACCAAATTCACCCCCCAATTTTCGCAACTTTTCTTCAGATCTCCCAAGAGCACAAATGTCAACAGCAAAGAGAGGGGGTTTACAAACCCACTTTTGTGTGTGATTCTTTATCTTTTTAAATTCCCCGCCTCTTGGGCCCAAAACCCCCCCGCCTTTACTTCTTTACAACCCCATCTTAAATATATTAAACAACCACGGGGGGACATCACCATCCCTGTCTAAGGCCTACTTTTTCCCCGGAAAAAATTTCCCTCTTTCCTAATACTCTAATTTTTAGCCTCACTTTCCCAAAAAAAACCTTCACTGCTTTCTGTAACCTACCCCCTACACCATTTCACTTTCCTTTTTCTGCCACCCCTTGCCCCCCCCCCACCCTGTCATTTCGCCTTTTCCCAAAACCATAAATGCCCCAAAAAACCTCTTTTTTTGCCTTTTCTAAAAAACCCGGGTTTACTTAATGTTTCCCCTGTAAACACCTGGTTCCCCACACCCCCCACCTTTCCCTAAAGCCTCCCTTGGTTAAAACTGCTTTCCTATTCTCCCTCTTAAAATCTTTAAATTTTTTCAAAATAACCTTCCATAACACTTTTTCCAGGTAAAACTCAACAGACTTTTTCCCCCAAAAATTTTGGGAAACCCCACTTTTTTCCCCTTTTGCCTTTATAACAAGGAATTTGCATGCTCTTGCCAATCCCTTTGGGACCTTTTTTCCCCTTCCCTTTCATTTATTAAATAATTTCCAAAACCAACCACCCAAAACTATATCCCCCCCGGCCCTTTTTAAACCCTTTTTACTTTTTCCCATCAATCCTGTCTGGGGCCTTTTACCCCCTTTTTTTTTTACCTACTCCTCACGAACTTCCCCCCACACTCACCAAATGGGTCTTCCTCAAATCCTACAAAAATTTGGGTTTTTCCTCCTTGCCCTTACACGGGAAAACACAGCTTCCCCCATCTTTATCAACATTTTTAAAAATTCCTCAAAATAAATTTCCCCCCATTTTCCCCCAAAACCTCTAACCCCCTTCATTTAATAAATCTCCTCTCCTATTTTTAAAATGACAAATCCATTTGGTTTTCTAGGTTCTTAACTTGTTAAATCTCACCCCCAAAACTTTTTTTTTTTTTTCAAAAAAAAATTTGTTGATTAAAAAATCTCAACCCTCCTCTCCCCCAATTTTTCTCTCTTTTTTTTCATTGCTTCACACCACCCCTTAACCTTTTTCTTTTTCCCCCCCTTAAAAACCCTTTTCCCCCCTTGGGATACTTTATTTTTTTAAAAAATTTTCAATGCAACTTTTTTTCTTTCCCTTTCTAACCTCTTTACAACATCAAAATTCCCCAAAAACGCTCCTCTTTTTCCCCCCTGCCCCCCGACTTTTTCCGTAACCACAAACTTCTGCTGAACACTTAAAAACTACATTTTTTTTTAAAATAAACCCCCTTTTCCTCTTTTGGGCCCCCTTTTCCCATGCTTCATTAAAACCCCTCTATTTCCCCCAAAAGCTGTTATTACTTACCCCAACTGCCTCCTCTTTTTTTTATAAACCTTCACCCCCTCTTTTTCCCCGATGCTTTTATTCTCCTTTTTTTATCCCATCTACCTTTTTACTTCCCGTGTAAACAACAAAAATTAAAAAGTGATTGATATATCTGGGCCCCCCCTATAAACATTACTTTCCCGAAGTCTTTCTCAACGTTTTTATCTACCAAAAACATAAAACCAACAAACACTTTTCTTTCCCCCCTAATAAAATCTTGTAAATTAAATTTTTTTCCCCCTTTTTTTAAAAAAAAAAAGTATTACCTATAATAAACCCTTTTCTATACAAAGTTCAATCAAAGGGCTCCATTATCAATTACACCTGGAAACCCCAAACTTACCTACCACCCCCCTCTCTAAAAGTTTCTCCTACTTTAGCATTCAGGTCCCCTACCACAATTACTCTCTCACTTGGTTAAAAGGCTCCTTTATAAAATTCACTTAACATCTCCCAAAATCTCTCTCTCTCCTCTGCATTCCTCTCTTCTCCAGGTGCATACACGCTTATTATGACCCATTTTCTCGCATCCAACCTTTACTTTAATCCACATAATTCTTGAATTTACCATTCATTTTCTTTTTTCCCTCCTTCCATAACTGATCATTTAACATTACTGCTACCCCTTCCTTTGCTCTAACTCTCTCAGATACTCCAGATTTAATCCCATTTATTTCCCCCCACTGAAACTCTCCTACCCCCTTCAGCTTTGTTTCGCTTAGGGCCAGGACATCCAACTTCTTTTCATTCATAACATCAGCAATCATCTGTTTCTTGTCATCCGCACTACATCCACGCACATTTAAGCATCCCAGTTTTATAAAGTTTTTCTTTTCTTTTTTTCATTATGCCCTGTATTATATCTCATATATTTGGGAGTGGATTTGTCAGCAGATGGGACTATGAAAGATGAGATGAACCATTAAATTGATGAGGGGAAATAGTTAAGTGGTGCAATGAGGCATCTGTGAAGACAAAGAACATTATCCATAAAGTCAAAAAGGAAAATGCATGAGAGTTTAGTGGTACTAACGCTCCTGTATAGGTGTGAAGCATGGATGGTGAATGTTGCAGCAAGGAGGAGGTTGGAGGCTGTGGAGATGTCATGTCTGAGGGCAATGTGTGGGGTGAATACTATGCAGAGATTTCATAGTATGAAGATTAGGAGGTGTGGGGTTACTAGAAGCATTTTCCAGAGAGCTGAAGAGGGGTTGTTGAGGTGGTTCAAACATTTAGAGAGGATGAAACAAAATAGGATGACTGAGAGGGTGTATAAATTTGTAGTGGAGGGAAAGGAAGGTAGGGATCATCATAGGAATGGTTGGAGGGGGTAAAGAAAATTTTGTAAGGGGCTTTGACACCAAGTGTGTGTGAGTGTGTTAGATAGGAGTGGATGCAAGTGGATTTTATGACTTGGCATGTTGTTGAAGTGTGAACAAGGCAACATTTATAAAAAGATTCAAAGAAACCAGTTAGGAGGACTAGAGTCCTGGAGGCAGGAAGTACAGTGGCTGCACTCTGAAGGGGGGGTGGGGATATCTGCAGTTTTGAACTGTAGTATCCTGGCAAAACATGTGATGGAGTGAGTGATGGTAAAAATTTTCTTCTTTTTCGGTCCCCCTACCTCAGTGGGAGATAGCTGTTATGTTTAAAAAAAAAAGTATGTGGGAAAGAAATGTAAATTAAAAGATAAAGTGAGCTGGGTCATAAGAAATATTTATATCTAATGATTACCTTACAAAAATTGATGAGCAAAGGCAAGTATCAAGAGCTGGAACTCTACCTTTTCACATATAAATGAGTGAACATATCCAAGTATGAAAATTAGCTTACCATCCTCAATGGTCTGTGGGTGAAACTTTGCTGTCAGTGGAGCCGAGTGTGATGCTGCCTGTGGTCAGTGGTCCAGCAGTGGGACTGGTCAAGATGTTGCCTGTGGTCAGTGGCCCAGCAGTGGCACTAGACAGGATGTTGCCTGTGGTCAGTGGCCCAGCAATGGCACTAGACAGGATGTTACCTGTGGTCAGTGGGACTGACCAAGATGTTGCCTGTGGTCAGTGGGACCAGGCAGGATGTTGCTTGTGGTTGGTAATCAGTGGACACTGGTTGTAACATTCCCTGTGTTTGGATAAACATCTTTAATTGTACTTAATACAGAAAATTATTATTTATAAATAAAGAAAGTTTATTTATTTATGAAGACCAAATTTTTCCTGCTGAAGCAACTGAAATGTTCCTATTTTTCAGCCACTAAATATGCTTCTATTGTTTACTGATTCTGCAACTGTTGAATATAAATAATAATTACAGCACATACAGTGAGGTATGTGATAATGAATAGTTTATACAACAAATATTTACATAAACATTAAATCTCTCCTCTGCCTCCTGTCCTGCGCTCAACAACACTAAACTAATAAAGTTGGTAGAATTACCGACAATATGTAAAGTAAAAGGACACAAGTACAACTAATGTGACATTTATTGTGGCAACGTTTCGCTCTCCAGGAGCTTTATCAAGCCATTATAAAGCTCCTGGAGAGCAAAACGTTGCCACAATAAATGTCACATTAGTTGCACTTGTGTCCTTTTACTTTACAACACTAAACTAGAATAAAATACAATATTTTTTATTATTTTTTGAACTAATTTATTTTTTATTACAAGTATTAATGATATTTTTTTATTTCTAGAGTTTAAATGCATATTTATGCATTTTTACAATTTTATATTATATTTTTCATTAAGTGGTTGTATTTGTGGGCTTAGAATGGATTATCTGTATAAGGAATGAGGTTCTAGAAACAATTAGATTCATTATAGCATAGCCCACTCTAAATAGAATACAAGAACAAACAGAATTATATATCAAGTATATACAATTTTAATATTGGTATTAAATACTGAGTGTAAACAGACAGTTTCAATGTTGTTTTTTATCTCAAGTAAATATATGTTATTTTTATGTTGTGAACTTTCTCAAGTGAAGGTAGAAAATCAAGAACATGGTCATACAGATAGTAGGGATGAGGGAAATGTATCAAGTGAAGGTAGAAAATCAAGAACAAGGTCATACAGATAGTAGGAATGAGGGAAATGTATAAAGTGAAGGTAGATAATCAAGAACATGGTCATACAGATAGCAAGGATGAGGGACATGTATCAAGTGAAGGTAGAAAATCAAGAACATGGTCATACAGATAGTAGGAATGAGGGAAATGTATCAAGTGAAGGTAGATAATCAAGAACATGGTCATACAGATAGCAAGGATGAGGGACATGTATCAAGTGAGGGTAGAAAATCAAGAACATGGTCATACAGATAGTAGGGATGAGGGAAATGTATCAAGTGAAGGTAGATAATCAAGAACATGGTCATACAGATACTAGGAATGAGGGAAATGTATCAAGTGAAGGTAGATAATCAAGAACATGGTCATACAGATAGTAGGAATGAGGGAAATGTATCAAGTGAAGGTAGATAATCAAGAACATGGTCATACAGATAGCAAGGATGAGGGACATGTATCAAGTGAAGGTAGAAAATCAAGAACATGGTCATACAGATAGTAGGGATGAGGGAAATGTATCAAGTGAAGGTAGATAATCAAGAACATGGTCATACAGATACTAGGAATGAGGGAAATGTATCAAGTGAAGGTAGATAATCAAGAACATGGTCATACAGATAACAGGAATGAGGGAAATGTATCAAGTGAAGGTAGATAATCAAGAACATGGTCATACAGATACTAGGAATGAGGGAAATGTATCAAGTGAAGTAGATAATCAAGAACATGGTCATACATGATAGTAGGAATGAGGGAAATGTATCAAGTGAAGTAGATAATCAAGAACATGGTCATACAGATACTAGGAATGAGGGAAATGTATCAAGTGAAGGTAGATAATCAAGAACATGGTCATACAGATAGTAGGAATGAGGGAAATGTATCAAGTGAAGGTAGATAATCAAGAACATGGTCATACAGATAACAGGAATGAGGGAAATTATCAAGTGAAGGTAGATAATCAAGAACATGGTACATACAGATAAACAGGAATGAGGGAAATGTATCAAGTGAAGGTAGATAATCAAGAACATGGTCATACAGATACTAGAATGAGGGAAATGTTATCAAGTGAAGGTAGAAAATCAAGAACATGGTCATACAGATAGTAGGAATGAGGGAAATGTATCAAGTGAAGGTAGAAAATCAAGAACATGGTCATACAGATACTAGGAATGAGGGAAATGTATCAAGTGAAGGTAGAAAATCAAGAACATGGTCATACAGATAGTAGGGATGAGGGAAATGTATCAAGTGAAGGTAGAAAATCAAGAACATGGTCATACAGATAGTAGGAATGAGGGAAAATGTATCAAGTGAAGGTAATAATCAAGAACATGGTCATACAGATACTAGGAATGAGGGAAATGTATCAAGTGAAGGTAGAAAATCAAGAACATGGTCATACAGATAGTAGGGATGAGGGAAATGTATCAAGTGAAGGTAGAAAATCAAGAACATGGTCATACAGATAGTAGGAATGAGGGAAATGTATCAAGTGAAGGTAGATAATCAAGAACATGGTCATACAGATACTAGGAATGAGGGAAATGTATCAAGTGAAGGTAGAAAATCAAGAACATGCTCATACAGATAGTAGGGATGAGGGAAATGTATCAAGTGAAGATAGATAATCAAGAACATGGTCATACAGATAGTAAGAATGAGGGAAATGTATCAAGTGAAGGTAGAAAATCAAGAACATGGTCATACAGATAGCAGGAATGAGGGAAATGTATCAAGTGAAGGTAGAAAATCAAGAACATGGTCATACAGATAGTAGGAATGAGGGAAATGTATCAAGTGAAGGTAGATAATCAAGAACATGGTCATACAGATAGTAGGAATGAGGGAAATGTATCAAGTGAAGGTAGATAATCAAGAACATGGTCATACAGATAGTAGGAATGAGGGAAATGTATCAAGTGAAGGTAGGAAAACAAGAACATGATCATACAGATAGCAAGGATGAGGAACATGTATCAAGTGAAGGTAGAAAATCAAGAACATGGTCATACAGATAGCAAGGATGAGGGAAATGTATCAAGTGAAGGTAGAAAATCAAGAACATGATCATACAGATAGCAAGGATGAGGGAAATATATCAAGTGAAGGTAGAAAAAGTAGCTGGTACATTCCATCATGGAGTCCAGTGGCCTCCTTTACTTGCAAACATTAATGTGAGCAATGACTTATTCAGTAAATGTCATTTAATGGACCTCCATAAAGCAGATGACTAAAAAGGACAAAAAAACTGGCCGGACAAAGGCTCAACATGTATGTTTAATGGGATGTCTGATTAAAATAACCATGAAGTGGACCAAATACACTATCAAATGAATATCCAATCCAGTCGCACATTCGATAAAATAAACCAACCCTTCTCAATGACAAGTTTGTCTGTTCAGAAGTTCATCCTGGACATGTCCATTTCCATTGTTCCTTATCAACAGACCAGTGACTACCAGCATCAGTTTGTTACTGTCTGTCTCAGTACTCACACTACCCCCATTTTATTTCCAATTTTCCCCTGGACTTAGTGTTTTTAATCAGTTTATTAAAGTAATGATGAAGATCCTGGTTATCAGACATTGAGTGACGCAGAAACTGCAGACGAAGCTGCTGGTACCCCCACTGATAAAAACAATTGTGATGAAGAGTCTATGAGGTCACCAGACGAAGCTGCTGGTACCCCCACTGATAAAAACAATAGTGATGAAGAGTCTATGAGGTCACCAGACGAAGCTGCTGGTACCCACACTGATAAAAACAATAGTGATGAAGAGTCTATGAGGTCACCAGACGAAGCTGCTGGTATCCACACTGATAAAAACAATAGTGATGAAGAGTCTATGAGGTCACCAGACGAAGCTGCTGGTATCCACACTGATAAAAAACAATAGTGATGAAGAGTCTATGAGGTCACCAGACGAACTGCTGGTACCCACACTGATAAAAACAATAGTGATGAAGAGTCTATGAGGTCACCAGACGAAGCTGCTGGTATCCACACTGATAAAAACAATAGTGATGAAGAGTCTATGAGGTCACCAAAATTGTCAACAGTATGAGATGTGACTCATGTTATCATCATATACAGTGGACCCCCGCATAACGATTACCTCCGAATGCGACCAATTATGTAAGTGTATTTATGTAAGTGCGTTTGTACGTGTATGTTTGGGGGTCTGAAATGGACTAATCTACTTCACAATATTCCTTATGGGAATAAATTCAGTCAGTACTGGCACCTGAACATACTTATGGAGTGAAAAAATATCGTTAACCGGGGGTCCACTGTACACTGATCTCTCAGACAAAAGAAGTGAAGGCCTATTATCAGTGTAGGCATATTATATTAGGCCTATTATCAGTATAGGCATATCAGAGTAGACCTATTATCAGCATAGGCATATCAGATTAGGCCTATTATCAGTGTATACATATCAGATTAGGCCTATTATCAGTGTAGGCCTATCAGCATAGGCTTATTATCAGTGTAGGCCCATTATCAGTGTAGGCATATTATCAATGTAGGCATATTATCAGTGAAGGCCTATTATCAGTACTTTGGCACTGTCATAAGGATTAATTCTTTAAGCCTGTTTCCCTTTCTAAATCTTCCAAGCCAACTATGTCTACTCAGTCATCTACATCTGCTGAACCATCTATATCTGCTGAACCATCTACATCTGCTGAACCATCTATATCTGCTGAACCATCTACATCTGCTGAACCATCTATATCTGCTGAACCATCTACATCTGCTGAACCATCTACATCTGATGAACCATCTACATCTGCTGAACCATCTATATCTGCTGAACCATCTATATCTGCTGAACCATCTATATCTGCTGAACCATCTACATCTGCTGAACCATCTATATCTGCTGAACCATCTACATCTGCTGAACCATCTACATCTGCTGAACCATCTATATCTGCTGAACCATCTACATCTGCTGAACCATCTATATCTGCTGAACCATCTACATCTGCTGAACCATCTACATCTGATGAACCATCTACATCTGCTGAACCATC